GGTTCCTATCCCTTCTCGTAATTCTGAATTTATTGCTTCCAAACTATTAACCCGGTCAGCAAGCGTCACCTTCCCATGGTTGATGCTCTGATACCAATTTGATAGGAACTTGTTGCAAGATGGGAAGCACGGACATGCCCCTAAATCCGACGTATGGTGTCATACTCGTGTCGAACATCGACATGTCCTCGATACATGTCCCGGCAAGCCAGGTGGCATGTACCTTTATTTTTTTGGATGTTCGACGGCCAAAAAGATGAAAAAATAAAGAAGGAAAGGAAAAACTAACCCTATCATGTCGATTTAGCTGGGTTTTGGTGTCTATGGCCCTAAACTCTTATGGGATCTAGTAAATAATTTGACACTCATTGTGGATTGCAGTAACTTGAGGGCGTCGCATGGGGGAAGAATTCTCTGTCGGAAACCTAATTTTGTGGAAGATGAGAGTTCTATTTTAGGTTTGGTAATTGAGTCAAATTGTTTAAAGTGGTCCAATTTTAAAGAGGGTCAAGTTTTTTTTTTAAAGTGGATTTACATTTTATTTAGTAATACAAGAATTGCATGTTAAGTCAAACACTGATTCCAATTAGTGAACAACTTTTTAACAACTGATTATTATTTTACCGATGCTTTGAAATACAAACTTAAATAAAAAGCAAACCCATTCCATTTATAGAAAGCTTTAGGCTCCATTTCAAGAGAAAACTCTTCTTGCTCAAATCCTTTGATTTTTTTTCCTTGACATAAAAATAAATAAAAATCTTAATAAAAATTAAGTAAAAATAAATAAAACTAAAAACTAAAAATTTTATACAGCCGGAATGTCCATTTATCTTTTTCTTTTTGTTATTGTTGATGGAATAACAGAAATAGAGTCTTATAGAGTGTTGTTATCTTCATCTTTATACAATTACAGTAGAACCATATTATTGAAACAAGGATCAGTATTCCGTTTCACAGCATCTTGTTCTGTTTTTATCTTAAATACAGTCTTTAATTCTGTGGAGTGAATATGTTCCTATCACTTTCCTCGGCCTCATGTCTGTTTTCCCTGAAGAAAGTTTTAACTTCTTGACTTGGCCATGTCTTCACACTTTTGTTAGTCAAACTTGTTTTACGACAGAGAGAATCTCGCACACAGAATTAAATGGCTAATAGCAATAACTGGTTCAGGCCAATCATGCTCTCTAATTTGTTAGAATACAATTAGGTTGCGACAATAACTCATTTTCTTTGACACATGCCTATTAGAATTCACAGGCCTTTCCTCATGTGGGCCAATACCTGGTGTGTAAAATAATTACTTGTTAGAATGAATGTTCTCTTTATGTATATATAGAGAAAACGCTGAATTTTTGTCTTGATATATTAATCTGACTTTGCAAAATGTCCAAGCATTTAGTAGGGAGACTTGTTGGATTTATACGCAATAATAGAGAAGTGAAAGAGAGAAATAAACACAAGGATTTAATGTGGTTTAATAATGTGCTTACGTCCATAAGGAACGAAGCGAAGATATTTTATTCAGTATGAATAATAGGATTACATCATCCGTATATATATACTAACCCTAGCCCTGACCCATATAATACTTTAGGGCGCCCTTTCAAGAAAAAACCTCCATACCTTCTAGTAAACCTATGTTCCACTCTATGTGAGCCACATACACAACAATACTCAACTGCTATATACAGCTGGAAAGTTTTATTTTGGATTGGTTTTCATCTGATCGCTATGTGGTTAAACTTACTTGAGAAAGCGCGTGATAAGTTCAAAATGAAGTGTTCATTATGAATTTTATGACTAGCAGATAATCATGTGAATTCTTCAATGCAAACAGCAATTTGTCTTGTCAACACGCATACTTATCAATGTTTTATTTGTATTTTCTCGACACTGAATGCTCTTCAGGTATCAATCATTTCTCACACTTAAACATTTTTCTGCTTATTCTCATGCTCAGTTCTATAAATAAGTTCAAATAGAAGCTTTAGCTTTCTGCGAGGTCAGGGAGGACTGGCAGTAGCTAAGGTATGTGTACTAGATCCTGAAGGCAACAAAGTTCTCTATGTAAGTGGAGAGGGCACGGGTCGGGCATCTGTTAGAGTTTCTATTATACATTCTTATATTGATGCTTTCAGGTTTAATGCCAGAACATATTGTCAAAAAGTTAAAATTTCGATTTGGAAAGCAGTATGTTGAATTGAAATTAGAGGTGTGGACAGAATAAAGGAACACTGTCCAATTCTTGTAAGAGATGGTTTTGAGTTATGGTTCACTGCTGGTATCAACAGGTCATATATAAGGATTCATATTAGTTTCTGGACAGTTTGTAAATTGGCCTTGGTTGTGAAGTGCAGCCATTGACCCAGTTATTATCGATCCAAGGGGTGATTGAGATGTCTAAGTGCAGAAGAGCTAAGATGAAATGAGGAGTTGATTCCCCTACCTGTTTTAAGTGCTTCCATGTGGTGGTAGTTTACGTAGCAAGGGTTCTGCAACCAGCCACACATATCAAAGCACTGGTTCAATAATAAAGAAGTCAAAAGTGAGAGCCAAGTTTGAAAACTCATTGATATGTGTGTCATTTTCACCATCTTGAGCCAAGAATAAGAGGGAAGACCCCTGGGAGGCGAATTAGTCACTATGTAAGATAAAGCATTGTAATATTGCTGAAATTCCCACTCTGATAAAGTAGTCTGTGCTCCAAGACCAGAAGCTTTTGAAGGCTATGGGATCGGTGGTAGGATTTAGTTCCAAAGTTGAGTTTGCAATTTTAGCTGTTGTTTACTTGATGGCTAATAGTTCTAGGGAATCCTTGTGAATTAGGTAGCATGAGTGCATACAACTCTATTTTTTTCCCTATGTGTAATACTTGTGTTACTTGTTCCTTTTTACCCTTCATTAATCGACTGTTCCTTACCCATACTGACCAGCTACCATTCTTGATAATTTTACAAATGAAAAAAAGTTGTTCACAGTTTCAACTTAAAGAAGTGGTTCCTTTGATTTGTGTTTGGAAATAATTGAGCTCCATTATCTCTTATTTTATTATCCTACCACACTTACTTTTTTTTTTAATGACTAAGTTCCCGTATGCCCACTTTTCTCAAAAGCATGTATTTTGCAAAAGAAGTAATGTATGTGTTGCTACTGGATTTAGGCAATGGCTCAGGTTGGTGGCGTGGTTATGCTACAACCAGAAGTGGGAGGCTCGAGGGAAAATTTTTTCTTTGCTGGAATTGACAAAGTAAGATTCAGAAAGCCAGTCGTCGCAGGAGACACCCTAGTTATGAGAATGACACTTGTCAAGCTGCAGAAACGCTTTGGAATAGCAAAGATGGAAGGAAAAGCATACGTTGGCGGGGAAGTGGTCTGCGAAGGTGAATTTTTGATGGCTATGGGCAGTGAATGATTATTTCCCGCCAATATGGTTGTATTTTTTGCAGCACCAGTTGTTTTTTAATTTTCGTCTCTCTCCTTGTCTATCTTTCTATATTGGGAAAACATTGTCCGTCCCTTTTAATTTCTTTTCTGTTGGAAGAGTTATTTATGAATTTTTTTTTCTAGGAGTGAATTGGTAGAGACTAAATATTGCAAGCTTAAAGTAACTCCCAAGTTACTTTAAATTAAACTAAAACCGTGTCATGTTTGCGTGCTTGAAACCTTACTTTTAAGTCACTTATTTTATCAAACATGATCTTCAAAGTTAATTTTTTTACTCTGTATGCTGTTGAAAGAAGAATGGGTTTCTATTGAAAAATTAAAAAAGGGAAAAGGAAAAAATGTACTGAGTTGCTTAACTCTTGTTTACATTCCAGTCCTGAGTGCTAAATAAAATGCTTTCACAGTAGAAATGCAATCTTCCAATTGAGATGGGAACGTTACTTCAGAGTTCTATTAGGTGTTATTTCTAGGTGATTTTATTATTAATTCTCAGTCGTCATCCTCGTTTAATTGTTAAAACTGTGTACGTTATTGCTTGGTTTTCAACTTTCTTTGGTAGACTAGGAAATCCATTGATTTTTTATGCTCACGTAATGTTTGGCTAAGCTTTAAGTTGGAAATAAGTTACTTAATTGACATTAAGATATGTTACTTTCACCTCGAGCATTCATTTTCTTTACCTTCAATGTGCAAATTACAGGCCAAGGGCACCAAGAGGCGTCTTCCCTTGCCCTGCCTCAAAATAGAAAACTAGCATAGCCAACATTGCAATTCTGGCATGCTTGATTTCTGCAAGCTTCAATCTCTTGAGCTACTCTTTATCTGGAATGTAAACTCCATCTTTCAATGTACCGGCCAAACAGAACGGATCGAAGAATTTGCCACCAGGGTAGCCTTGTTCACCAGTAGCATTGGCAAAATTTTCTGCTGTTCTTGACCATGGAGTAGCCCATTCGACAGATTGGGACTCAGGGTTGAAGAAATCAACCCATCTTTTGCCCTCGACCCATCCCGTAAGGAGGAGCTGAGTTCCGAGGTGACTGTCAAAAGAGAATGGGGCCACTGCACCAGGGGCTGCACCGGCTTCAAATCAAGGGATACCGCTCCAGGCCTGGCCAACGAAGATGTCCACAACTGCAGCCATTGCCTATTGGCCATGGATGAGCTCGGCTTCTCTGTACCATTTCAAGAATGCTGGGTCCTTTCCAAGGCCTAGTGGGTCGAATCCAAAGTCACCAGGGAACCTGTAATTCAATCCATCGTATAAAAGTTTAACACTTCATCTAAAAGCTTAAGATGAAAGGAAATACATTTAAAGTTGAAGAAAATTTCATAGGAGACTTACGAGCCATCAAGCCACTTGGGGTCAATGAAGTTTCAACCACTTTTGACAGCAGGGATCCATGACTTCTTAGGAGCGGCAGCCACCACAACGAACCTCTTGGGTGCGACAGCACCGCCTACTCTGACCGTGACTGAGGCAGACAACAGGGCCTGGCTCTTGTTGCCACCAGTCAAGAATGTAGATCCCAATCCATTAACCAATGGGGCAGAGGTTGAAGCCATTTCTCTCCCACTTTCAATATATCTGAAGATTGATAGTGATATTCTACTAGATTGGAACCTCTTGAGAGTTTCTTCTTGAATGCAGAATAGGCCATTAGTTACATGATTTCTTGTTGATGGAAATCAAAAGGAGAGCACCACGAAGAGCCACGTAGGATGAGTGAAATCTTGGAATCAGTCTAGGATTATATTGGATAGAGTTATAACCAATAAGATCAAAAGCTCCATCCACAATTTCCATGTTGGATCCATCCACTTGGACAGTCTGCTCCTCTAGAATTGTTCATGTTCTTGGCTTCTTTCTACACAAGTCTAAAATGTTTTTTTTCCTCCAAGAAATATTTTGATGGAAAGCCTAATGTATAACAAATGACGTGGAGAATGTAACTTTTCGAACTGTAATAAACGCAAAAACCATTTATAAATTTGCCGAATGGAGGCTAAGAATGTCTAATTTGAAACTTGTAAGCTCAAGAAATGTGTGACAAAGAAATTCCTTGAGAAATTGATATAATCTTTAACGAGAGACGCTCAATTTTAAATCGAGTAAGTTCAATCATTTCATGAGATTTCAATACAAATGATCCAATTGAAGCAAGAACTTTCAAGGACATTTGGAATATTTTGTTTATGAATAGAAACAACCATTTTGCAAGGAGTGTTCGATTATGTATCAAGCCTTTGAATTGGTTTTAGAAGGGAAATTTGTAGTGTAGACTGTAAAAATGTTCCTACCAATTTCCTCCGAACATAAAAATCTCCACGTGTCCATTTCTCTCCTCTCTTCTCCTCTATCCACAGAGTAAAAACTCACTATCGAGTCTCGAGATTTCCATTAATTGCCATCATCTCTCTTTCCCCAAAATGTTCACGTAAATCAATTATCTTCAACGATGGCTGATTTCTTTTGCAGTTTCTTGGATTCTCGATCTTTTATCACCAACTTCCAAATATTCTTCCCTCCAAAGCCATTCGTCCCGACCATTCCTCACTCCCACAATCCAAGAACCACAAGGAGAAAAAGAAAACCACATATCACCCTGCTCTCCGAACCCAAATCTCCAACGCCCTCTTCGAGTCCAGACCCTGATGTCATTTCAATCCACGGTATGCCCTCGTCAAACTCAGTCTTTATTCATAATTTAATTTTTAGTATTCTGACTAATGTAGACTACTCCAAACCACTATGGATAAGGGTTTTGTTTTTTCTGTTGAGTTGAGAATATCAATAACAACACATTGTTTTATAACTATCGTGGATTCATTTTCTTTATTGAACACTACTGACCATATTATAATATGAAAAAGGGTGAAGTGGGAAAGTAAAGCTATAATCTTTTAGGAGTTTTTGTTTAAATGAATATGAGATAATTGATCTTGAGGTAATTTTGATGATTATGTTGGCAGAGCTTTCTGATGGTAGCCTTTTGTTCCGGTTTGGAGACCCAAGTGAGATCGCAGAAAATGTGAAGCTGAATGAGCCCAGAATTTTGAAGGAGATTGAGGAAGAAAGTCAAGAGGGATTTAGTATGGTGAAGGTTTCTGATGGAGATATTGAGAGACAAGTGATCATAAAGAAACTAGATAAGGAAGTAAGGAGTGCTGGCTCAACCGAGGTGGCTAATAAAGGCAATGAAAGCACTAGTGTTGTTGAGACAGAGAGTAAATCCGGCGAGAAGTTATTAGAAGATTCAAAGAAAGTTGAATTAGAAATCCATATAGCTAATTCAATAGCTATCAGCAATGAAAGCATCAGTGTTGTTGAGAGAGAGAATGAATCGAGCGAGAAGTTATCAGAAGATTCAAAGGATCAGAAAGAGGGGGCTGAGAATGGAATGCCAAGTAATACCGTTGAAGATGGAAGTCAAAGTGATATGATTGAGGTAATGCCGGTATCTCAGTTGGAAGCTGAACCAATTCTTGATGAGGAAGCAGATAATGACTCCATGGAAGAATCTGCCGTGGCAGAGAGAAATGAGAGCGTCACAGTGGTTAGTTAAGTTTCTTGAAGCACTTCATAGTCGAGAATGAATTCCATTGCATAATTGTCTTGTTACTTCGTGCATTCTATTTCCTGGATCATATCTATAGGAGAGATATATCAAAGTCTTCTTCATGAAACAACTCTTTGGGAGATTTCATTTTTCTTTGGGAAACTTGTATAGTAATGTTACTCCAAGTTACTATTTGTCCACGCCAATGGAAGGTTGACTTGCTTTACTTCCACTGGCACGTATACGGTGTTTGTCAGTACCCAGAAATAAGCTTCTTAGTTCATGTCATTGGATTTGTATTGCTTCTCACTCACTGTAGTTTAGTCATTTTGGACCATCTTATGAAATTCGCAAAATAATGGCTGAAGGGTGGATCACACTGCATTTAACTCCAGCCACCCCAACCTTAAACAAAAAGCAAACAAGAGAAATGAAGGAAGACTAGAAAGAAAATATCATGAAAAGTTAATGCTTCGAGGCAGGTGTAATCTTCGTATTATAATTCATTTAATCCTTCGTCATTTAAAATGAAAAAGATTCTCATCAAGAAAACTCTTGTGCCCTGACAATGATGTTTACACTCCTATTTCCTATAATTTGACCTTCTGTGACGTCTTTCTTTCCATTCTTGTTATGCAAAATCCGTTGGGATAAAATTTCACATTTTCCAGCTGTCGATTTTATGATCATGATATGCAGATTTTTGGTTCTAAGTGTATTTTGTTAACTCTCCTAATTTATTGCACCACAAATCTGGTGTGAGAATTTTGATTTTGAATTCAAATAGAATTCAGTCCTTCCATTTGAAGAATCTGACTGTCTTTAGATTTATGTTGTTACAGCTTAGCAATTCTCAGAAGTCACTTTTGGATCCAAGGAGGAATGATGATGATCACAGTGTGAGAAACAATGATTTTATAGAAGCATCAGGTTGTGAATTGACAGAGCCAAAATCTATTGAATCAGTTGCATGCAGGTCTCTCTCTCTCTCTCTCTCTCTCAGAGTATTTTCCTTCTTTGTTTTGCTGGCATTGTTATCTTTTAGTGTTTCCTTATGTTTCCCTAATGCGTTGACTGGACGTGAATACAATGTTTTACTTATGTATAAAAAAAAACTTCTCTCTTTTTTACCGGAAAAGGACTTCAATATAAACATTCAGGTTCTTAAGTATTAAAATAGCATAAAACATTTATTTTCCCTCATGAAATGTATGCCTCCTATTTGCTCCTGCAATCAAACTTTTATTTCTGGAAACTTGACTATTTGAAGCTGGCCTCGTAAACATCTTTGCATGCAGATCATATGATAAAATTATTGACAGGATGGATAATCTCCCTGATTTTCTCTTTTTATAGCTCGGTTATTTAATTTAGTACTATTACCCTTCCTTTGCGGCTTTATAATACTTTTGAAAGTTTAAACACATCTAATGTATTTGCTTTATGCAGAACAAAAGCAGATTTTGTTCTATCTTCAGGTGCTGCTCTATTGCCACACCCTTCTAAGGTATCTCATGTATATATTTTCCTTTAGCATAGGCTGCACTTTATGTTGACCTTGTGATTTCTACGACTTAAACCTGTCTTAGTTATGGTCTATGTATAACTTCAAGTTTGGAAAGTTTAGAACGAAAAAAATAAAATAAAAATTTAACTGTTGCAGTTTTCTCAACGATTAGTTCACATCTTACCATGTGGGAATTGAATTTGAATCCTTAGTGAAGTCTGTTAACCTTTTGGCATTGTAAGATTGCTGGGAAGTAATTCAAATAATAAGAAATTCCAGGTGTTGACAGGTGGAGAAGATGCATATTTCATCAGTGGCCAAACCTGGCTCGGTGTAGCTGATGGAGTTAGTCAGTGGTCACTAGAAGGTACTGTTCCTGATATAGACCTGGAGGCTGGAGTTGAGCAATGAGTACTTTTAAGATGATTTTATCCTGATAATAATCTTTATTCGTAGTTGAATATCAACTGTCCAGGTGAACGTGTAAATATTTTTTTTAGGGGTCAATCCAGGAGTTTATGCCCAAGAACTCATCAAAAATTGTGAAAACATCGTCTCTGATTGCACTGGAGATTCAGTAAACAGCCCTGTTGAAGTCCTTAAACACAGTGTTGACAGAACACAGTCTCCAGGTTCCTCGACAGTTTTGATTGCTCACTTTGATGGTCAGGTATAATTTTTTCTAAACTTCTAGTGCCTCCTTTTGATTAGTGATGTTGGTTGTGGTGGTTTGATTATCAATTTGGTTCAGAATGATACAGAAATCATATATATCCGGTTATTTCCTAAGTAGTAGTAATATATGACTGTATGTTAAAATGCAAATTAATTAGCTATCTATCTATCAATGTATCTATATATATAGTTACTGTAAAAATTTTAACCACAAAACCAAGTTCTCAACCACATATTACAAAGCCAATACACCTTAAATCTGTACACAAGGAACAATTGACATCAATGAGAATCAACAGTAAGCTGCCGTGTGCAAGAAGAACTGAAGAAGAGAGGCCGAGAGAGAGAAATTGAGAGAATGATAGTGAAATGAGAGAATGGCTATGGTTCGCTCCTTTTTTATGAGGACCCACGATCATTGATCAAGTTTTGATCCAAGGGTCACAGTTAATCCTCAAGAGTAGCATAGGGCATTGGGCAACAGCTTTAGAAGTTGTTACACCTCTAAATGACACTTTCACTTGGGCAGGGGTCAATTTTGATGTGAAATAATTGTGCCTTAGAAACTCTTCAATTTTTGGCCAACTGTCCTATGTCCAATAAAGATACATTATTGCCCTAAGGTTGTTTGGCAACAAAAGCCCAACAACTACACACATGGAAATCATATATATGATATTGTTGACACTTCAACCAGCATTTTAACTTCCGTTCGGGATGTCAAGATATGAGTAGCTAATAGCATGGTAAATGGACCGACTGTACACGAACTCTTATATGATTAATCTTATATAAAATAAGAATCAATGTCATATGTTATCAATCTCTTCTAGGACTTGGCAGTAATATGAGTTATACTTTTGATCCTGAATAACATCGGCTCTTGTTGAAGTGTCAAGGCACAAGCTAAGTTCACATTGATTTTAACCGGCTTTCAATTTGCCAACAGGTTCTTCACGTGGCTAATATTGGAGACTCGGGATTTATAATACTGAGGAACGGTACTGTTTACAAAAAGTCTTCGCCTATGTTTCATGAATTTCATTTTCCGGTGCAAATTGAAAGAGGCGATGACCCCTTTTATCTCACAAAGGTATGGTTTACCAAAACAATTGCTCAATATTGAATCATCTTAGTATCTTCAAACCTTAACGATGGTTCTAGAAAAAATCTAATAGACATGACTCCAAAAATAATCTGAGTATTATTGTATTTGCTTTTGTCTTCAGGAATACAAAGTTGATTTAGAAGAGGGGGACGTGATTATTGCTGCAACTGATGGACTTTTTGACAATTTGTATGACCAAGAAATTTCATCAATAGTCTTGGCATCATTAGACAATGATCAACGGCTGGAGGTGCTAAAACATCTTGTTTAATTTTCTTATAGAACAATGTTGTTACATGTGCATACATTCACACACACATGTATTTCAAGGCGCAAGTTTATAGGAACTCAAGTTCTTTGGAACATATTCATTAAAGATCAATGGTACTTTTTAACTCTACTTATTTTTTCGCTCTTTATTTAGGAAATTGCGGAGTTATTGGCAGCACAGGCACAGGAAGTGGGTAGGTCTGCATCTGTCAGAAGTCCGTTTGTTGATGCAGCTCAAGCAGCTGGATATGTAGGTTACACTGGCGGCAAGCTTGATGATGTGGCTGTTATTGTATCAGTGGTTCGAAGACAATAGAACTCTTACACAACACAAGGTTTGTACATGTTTCATGTTTGATATAGAGTACTAAAGATGACTTTTTTCCCTTAATACTATCCCATGCCATTTAAAGGAACATGCCATTAGTTTTTCACTTTTTTCTGAGTATGCAGTAATATATAGTGGTCGCATGTTGGCTTATTTCTTTAACAAGTTCCAATTCGTCGTGCGTGAAATATAAGTTGAGGTCTATATGGAATAATCCTGTCATTTTTTACATTGGTGCATTTGTTCTCTAGAATATCTACATTAGCTAGAATCTATGCTGTTTCTCAAATGTTTACCTGTACAGCTACTGATGCCAATTATTGAAAGAACTTTTGAAAAAAGCTCTGCTTTTCCAGTTGAGTGAAATAGTTCTATGTGGAGTTCATGTTGTAATCATATGCATATATAATACAGGATAACAAATATTAAAATGCCTTAAAAAGTTGAAACATTTAGCTAATGAAAGGGCATAACAATGATTAAACCATGTGCTAAGAACTCCGTTCAAAAGTTTAAGCTGTCAGCTATGGACGCACGTTTATTTATTTAAAATTTAATCTTCCACGCTCTTCCTCACGTGCATAGATCGTATTTATTTATTTTTTATACGTGCCCTGTTTTTATAAAGAGTGGCTGATGAACTTGTGCTTTAATATCGCGTCGAAGGTTTTATCTAAAAGTTTAAAACTTTTAAGATGAGAAGCGATTATACGAATAATATATCGTCTTTCATTATTGTTTCTTATCTTCATCAGAAGATCTAAAGCAACTACGTTCCTTGGCAATTTACAATTGCACTGCTAACCTTTTAGGAATTTAAAATTTTCTGACTCGACTAGAAGAATATTACTGTTGGAATTAAGGAACAAAGAAAGGGGACCGTTGCAGTGAGAACATAAAACGTGTAGGGTATCCAGCGAAAGGTGTTGGAGCATCGTGTTTGAGTGATTCCTACCCCACTTTCACTCGAATCTATTACTTTTCTCGTCTAATCAAATCGAAATTCCAACTTAATTAAGCTAACAGAGTAATTAGTTAAACGGGATCATTCCTCCTACTCATTAATTTGATACACTTATTTGACAAATAATCGTGACCTTTAATTTAAGTCAATTCAACGTTCAATATGTATTTCATTAAGATCATGTGAGAATTTGTTATAACTACTTGATATCTATAAAATATTGAGCGTTTGATTGACTTAAATTAAAGATCGCGATTATTTGTCAAATAAGTGTGTCAAATTAATGAGTAGGAGGAACGGTTCCGTTAATTAATAGCCTAATTTTATGATAATCACCTTTTTTTTATAACCGTGGTTGTTCGGGTCAGATTGCATACACCTCGACTAATCCTACAAAGTCCTGAAGTTTACGATCACATACTCACCTCAGTGGTAATGAGGGGATTCGAATAGATGACCATTGAGGAGCAAATTCAATGACTGACCAATTGAGCAACCGTTTAAGGTTGATAATCACCTTTCTCAACAAAGCAGTGGAACTATATTTAAAGAGTTATTTTCTCGCAAAATAATAAAAAATTATTTGCATTTCGTGGTCAAATATAATAAATAGATTGTGAGAATTATATAGAATTAGTGGTGAGAAAGTAAACTGAAAAAAGGGTATTGGAGACGGTAATGGATTCAACACTTTGATGAGAAAGGTGGAAATGTGAGATGGCACATTTGGCAAAGTGGAATTGAGAAAGTCTAATTCCACTCCCCACCTTTCGTGTTCAGATTAATTATATCAAACTGGATTTATTCCTATGATGAAAGTGTAGAAAAATGAAGCTTGGAAGAATTGACCGGAGGGAATTTGGTAAAGATTCAACTTTCAACGCACTTCTTGAAAATTCATGATCAGCGTATTGACGACGTTTTCTAGAATATATGTTTAGACTCGATCTTCGACCGTCTAACGAATCATCTTCACATCCTAAGAATTATGAGACTTTAAACCAGTAAGATAACAAATAAGTAGAGGGGCCAGCCAATCAATCATTCGCCAAGCTGCAAAACTAGCCTTTTAACAGCCTGATTCGATTAATCAATTGGCGTTAATTTTGGCCTAAAGTGACCCCATCTTTAATCAATTTCTCTCATGATTTTGGGTTGCGTGCTTCCGGGGTTTCAAAGGGGCCATGTTTGGTTAAGTTTAAAATTCAATTAAAATTGAAAATATAGCCGTTATTGAGTCCCACTTATTTAATAAAAGTCAACAATAACGACTAGTTTTTCAATTTTAATTCGATTTTAATATCTACCGAACACCCCCTAGGTATCAACTTTATTATATTTGGTAATGGAGATCCTTTTTCTAATATTACGTAAACTACGCTATGCCTCCGTTTGAGTTTCATCCCTAAGAAAATTAAATATCGGTATTTGCTTTATTTTTTTAATGAATTAAATTTCAATACAAAATTCCAAACACAAAACATGAAAGTAATCTCAATTTATGGAAAAATTAGGGTTGGGTTAGTATTCAAACCATTCACGCGGCGTGTTTATGGATCCTAACTTTAAAAAATGAGATTCTAAATTCTTAATTTATTTAAATCTATAAATTTTGATCCTCAAGCAATTGAAATCATGAATTTAAAAGGGGTTTGTAATGGATTTTAAATCCTCTTAAATTTAGGTGTTTTCAATTGGGATATAGGTGTTCCTAACTGAAATTTTGATGAAACTCAATGAAATCCTTTAGAATTTAGGTATTCTCGATAAATGGTGATTTATAAAGATTTTACTAATACAGGGATTTAAAAAGATCTGGATGGATTTGATGAGATTCTTATGAAATTTATGAAAATCTATTTAAATTTATGAAATTCATTAAAATTTGTAATCTTTTAAAATTCATCAAAATCTGAGTTGAGGACACTTTCAAAAACTTTAAAATTGCATACAATTTTTAATTGAGTTGAAAGAAACGTTAAATAGTTTGGTAGTTTAGCCGTCCAACTTCAAATAGTTTAAAAGTTGCACGTAATTTTAAAGTTCATATTGGCGGTTTTGGTCACTTCACTAACCTTGAGTCACATATGTAAATAGGATGAGAACTCAATACTTCATTTTTAAAGATTGAGGAGTCATAACTACACTATATAAAAGGTTGGGGAGATCTTTACTAATTTTCTCAAAACTCCCAAATTTCAAGAAAATCGTAACCCCATTCTTGAAAAGGATGCCACAACTTCCGTCCTGACCTCCATGTGTCCCCAATTTCATTCTCATCATACCCCCACCAATTTTATATAACACATTTACACCTCAACAATTCCCAGGCCCTTTCATCCATCTTCATTTTTCGCTCTGCACTCTCTGCTTCTCCTCCTCTCTAAAATGGCACGGTTTTTGAGCGCCACCGTCCAAAGTTCTTTGAAACTTCCACTCTTCTTCGTGCTGTTTTTCTTTGCTGTTTTAACCAACGTCCAGTCCGCCTCAAACTCGGCGCCGGCCCCTGCCGCTGACTGCTCTAGTCTGGTATTAAGCTTGGCAGATTGCCTTTCATTTGTTACCAGTGGAAGCACTGCCAAGAAGCCTGAAGGTTCCTGCTGTTCTGGGCTTAAGACCGTGCTGAAAACAGACGCTGAGTGTCTCTGTGAAGCTTTTAAGAATAGCGCACAATTGGGAGTCACGCTTAATGTCACCAAGGCCTTGACTCTGCCTGCTGCCTGCCATGTCTCTTCCCCCTCCGTTAGCAACTGTGGCCGTAAGTTTGTTTTCTTTGGCTATATGTTCATTTTTTCTGGGGCATTATCCGGCGAAAATTTCTTCTGAGAATTTTTATGTTTTCCCTTTATTGTTCCTCTGTATATTTTGGAAAACCTTTTTTTAAGGGTTTCTTCAGTGTCAATCCCCCTTTTGTTGTATCGAAAAATACTTCCTCGATAATTGCATTCTCCCTCTGTCTGCCAGTTTCTTTCCTCACAAAACCCCCACTTCCTTATTATTGTTGTGAAATTATGCATTTGTTTGTACGAATTCAAAACTAACTTGTTTTCTTTTTCTTGCCTGTTTTGTTCAGTGACGGCCGATGGTGCTGCTCCAGGTATATACAGATCTAATTACCGTGCTTTGGACAGATTATAGATCACATTCCCAGTAATTAATTGAAAACGATCTGGGTTCATCTTTTTATCAACTCTTAACTTAGGATTAGGCATATTAGATTTGTTGAGTTTAGCTGTTTTTATCACTTTTCAATGGCATCAACTTCTGATTGATTGTACGATGTATGGGTAAATCGTTTGTTAGGCAATGACAGTTGTGAAATGGAGGTGGTTATCGTGATGAATAAATGGCGATACATTGAGCATGGGCCGGGACGATTTTCTTCCCCGACTTTTTATATTATGAAACTCATCAAAGTTGTCTCTAGTTAACTCTAGACAAAATTTTCAAGTTTCTTGACAAGTGCATATTTGGTTTCACTGCAGCTCTTCCTCCTTCTGCATTATCACCTACTGCAATTCCAGGTGCTCCAACTACAAGTATAGTACCTAATGAAGTTGTACCTGCACCTGCTCCAGGAAGCTCTGGTTCTTCTGCACTTACCGTCTCTGTGTGGTTTCTCGTTCTTTCCATGGTAGCTGCCGTACCTTCAGCTTTATTCTGAGAGCTTATTGTACCATCTTCTTTTCTAGACGAGAATTGAGCATGTTGTTAGTAATTTAACCTTCAGTAATAGTAGGCTTTGTAGATGTGAGACGACGATTAGTAATATCCATTTTGAGCTGCTACTTTTTACTACCATCTTGTTTTGTTATTCAAGTTGGATGGATATTGGATTTGCCTTACCTTAAATTCATGGTTTCATGGTTCTGGAATTGAACACGTGATTTCCCTCTCTTACCATTAATGTCGGTTTTGATACCTGCAAAACGTGCAGTACTATAAGAGCTGGTATTAAATGAAAAAAGAAGTTAAAAATTGAGAAATGTTATCCATCCCTACTGCAATTACAAACACAGTGTAGGTGACGTTAATGTGGTATTAATGAGTTCTACATTATTATCTTATTAAAATGAAAAATATAATCGTTTTTCATCACATCAACATTTAAATTCAAATTTTCTGTCTTTTATGTGGATTCCAATAATGGTTATATTTTTCATTCTCATTCTACAATAATTTGGCTCAAACAGTACTGAATAAGTAATTTAATTTCACTTTTCATTTAACCTATTAATTAGAGTTACTTAGATTGTGTTTGTAACCCCACTGGGGATGAATAACGTTTCCCTAAAAATTTGAATTCAAGCTTAGATTGAATGAAAAAAGAATGATTGAGTCTTCGCCGCGATTAACGATGATAGCGCTGTCATATTGCTGTTGTTAATCATTGACAGATGTGTCATTGATGGTAATGCTATTAGTAATTTCCGAATCACCAATTGATATTGTTGTACATTTGTGGTTCTGTCGGTGATAAATTTTTTGGTTTAGTTTTTATATTATTATTCTTTAAATGGTTCTATTAGGGTCCGTTTGATAGGTAAATGTGAAAAAGAATTTCAATTCCATAAGAATTCATTTTTCATGAAAATAAAGAAAATGCAGCTTAAAGTGGTTGTAATTTGGAATTTGATTTTCATTTTCATGTTACAATCAAACGGTCAAAGTGGAATTCATTTTTCTCGGATGTGATATTTTCCATGAAAAAGTTTGCAATCAAACAGGGCTTTAAAGATTATGCCAAAGCCCTAAGGCCCCTCTTAGTTGTTTGTCTCCCCTATGCTTGAAAGCTCTAATTCTACACTAATGTTCTCTGTCGGTCTTTCCATGGTAGCTGCTGTATCTGCAACTTTATTCTGAGAGCTTATGGTACTCTCTTCTTTTCGAGACGAGAATAAGAGCAGGACGAATTGTTGGAATGATGGAATGTTACAATGTCCATAAGGGAGACAACTTTCAGTAACAAAACGACTATGTGATGATGAATTTTGATTTGCAGCACTGATTATTCTAATTTTGTGAAATTAAAATGGGTGGTTTCTGATTTTGGCAGAGGGTTTTGATATAATGATGAATTTTCGTTTTTGAAGAAAGCATGAATTTTTACTAAATATCCATAATTAATTTACACTTACAAATTCATATTTAAAATTCAAGTGAAATTCTTGTCTCTTAAGAGGGCCAATATTCTGCTCTCTTCACCTTTGATATGCTCTCCAGTACACCAGATGGTGACAAGTGCCCCCTTACGGTTACCCTCTTGCTCTCCAAATCGATGCTGAATGATGTTACCCCTGCAAACCCTAATATTAATTAGGCAGTTGAATTACATATCTATCTGTATTGGAATTAATTTCACGTCCTTCATGTCAGAAAACAACCGAACAAATGCAGATTAATACCCACCAGCGTCTGAACAACCAAAAACCGACCCGACCCCCAGTTTATTTGGCCGTGTTAGTTTTGTTAAGCAAACACGGCTAAAATCTTGCAAGTTACATCAGTCTCAACATGGTCAATCTCGATACTTAACGAAAAGTTTAAAAGTTGTATGTCCTATGAAATGTATTGATGAAAATGAATTTTAGAAAATGGGCACACACTTGGTAATCGAACATTAATGTATTATATTCTTCTTTTCTGAAAATTGCTAAGTTTAGTGGGCCAGCATGAAAATTTTGTGCCAAAATAAAAAATAAAAAAAATAATAGTTTACATGCATGGTTCAACTTGGAAAATGAATACCTTCCATTTTGGATAAATGCTTCTTCACTTTACCAGCACAGCCTTGACAATGAAGAGAGACTCTCATTACCACCACCTGTCAACAACATTATAATATGCAGGTAGGTGACTTTAGAAAAGGAATCCTTTAAAATACAAACCAAAGAAAAAGGGAGAAAAATAAAATAACCTGATACGATGCTGCTATTGAAGAAACTTCTTGATGCTCTTTTTCTTTATCTTTTTTCAAGGCAGAAACATCGATCGATCTCCTATGATCAGTTGTAGAAACTTTACACGGCTCCCCTAATCGAATGTATTTTGCATTGTTGATTAATTTTGCACGATCAACAATCTTCTTGTCCAGCCTTCTTGGCACGATCACAGACATGTAATCTTCATTCATGCACATTGCAGTAGAAACAGGAGAATGGCACATGAATCCCTTCATTTTCTTTGCTGCCTTCAAGCTCTTGTTCATGGCTATACATAAGAAGTTTGTGTAGGGGTGGGTTGGAATGTTTTTGAGGATGTTCTGATATATAATATGGTAGGCAAAGTGTATTGAAGAGATAGATGAACAGTGTGTACTGTAGGGTGGGGGGTAGGGGCCAAAAATGCTATATTTATGAGTTAGCTAACAAAAGGAGATGACTTGGCAGTGGCAGCATATGGCCATGTTTGGTACGGATTAAAATCAAATTTTAATCTAGGTTAAAGTGAAACAATCAATATTAACCACATCTTTCATGAGTCACACAGCTTTTCAATCACACATTTCAAAAACTTCTTTTACAATCTACTAAAAATCTAATTTTAATCTACACCAAACACCCTATAAATACCTAGTCGTTGATATGCCCCTACCAGCTAGTCAAATTGAAAAGTTTTTGAACTTAAATCTAGTGATGGCAATGGGCCGAGGCGAGCCGACTCGGCCCATTGCCCCACGAGCTCGGCTGGTTGCCCTACGAGCCGAGCTCGTGGCTCGTTACAAAACGAGCCTAGCTTCTGCTCGGCTCGTTTGCTCGTGGGCGAGCTCGGCTCGGCCCCCGAGCTCGTGATTAACGCACGGCTCGGC